AAGTCTTAATGAACCTAGTGATTTCTGTCAAGCATTTTTCGACAACCATCCAGGATATAGTAAAGCTACTTTAAAAGCAATAAATGCAGAAATCGGCCGATGTAAAGAAAGAGCACATATTGCAAAATATGTGAATAAAGTACGCACAGAACTAGTTAGCATGTGGGATTTATGCAAATACGGTGAATCTCAACGAAAGAAATTTACTTCATTTTATTCTCGTACGTACACAAAAGATTTATTAACTTTGCACGAACTCGAAGTTGAAAAAGTTCGTAAATAYTATGAGACAAATAAAGAAATATTTAACTTATTGGAAGAGAGGGAAAAGCTGTGGACAAAAATGAAAGAATTAGAATATCGTGCCAATAACCCAGATAGATTAAAAAATCGAGGTGGACAACTGCTGGCAGAAGAAAAAGAGCGCAAAGTTATACAAAGAAAGTTACCTAAAATTGAAAGTCAGTTACATCATTTGGTAGAAGAATATGAAACTAGACACGGGGAAACGTTTTATGTTAATGGCGTTTCCTTGGAAGAATTTTTAGCACAATCATATGGACATCGTAATATAGAAAAGGAATGCCAAAAAAATCCAAGGAAGGAGATAAAAGACAAGAGCGCGAATAAAACAAGTGTAACCAAACTTACTCCAACAGCATCGACCAGTCGTCATTTAACTCCTTTGTGTACCTCCTCCAACAGGAAATTATTTTTTGGTTCTACGCCCAAAAGTTCAGGCAAACGGCGTAATGTTGGTAACAATAAAGTACATAGCGTCACATATGCGTTGAAAATTCGAAAAAGTGGGAATGTATGTACTATCTTTTTATATTTTTACATACTCTCTATCTTCCCTTTTTTCTTCATTTTATTTATTTCTTTTGTCAATTTTTCAGATCTCAAAGCGAGCTTTATCCGAGAACAAAAAACGTAGGAGCGTTAAGAAAGAATCCAGATCACAATCGCAGAATGCAACTACCATTGATATGACTTATGGACAATTTCAAGAACATTTGAAGGATAGAGAAGAATGTCGTAGCTCCTTGTTAACCAACCAATCACTAAGTACTAAATCTGTTTTTAAGACTCCAAATCGTACACACGTTAAGCCTTTCAGAAGGAAATTATACAACGTAAATGCATCATCTAATGCAACATCCAAATTATTACAATCGACTCGAGATTCTCCTCGTAGTCCTAGGATAGAATCATACTTTGAAACATGAAACGGCGCCAAATGTTCTTCTAATTATTTTTTGATGGATTATTTTCTTCGTTTAGATGACTACTTCGTCAATATGTTTAATATATTATTTTTAAAAAGGTATACATATATATATAAAGATATTTATATAAAAAGGTATTTATATATTAATATATATATATAAATACTTTTTTTTTTTAATAATATATTAAACATATTGACGAAGTATCATCTAAACGAAGAAAAGAATCCATCAAAATATATATATATATATATATATAGAGAGAGAGAGAGAGAGAGAGAGAGAAAGAGAATAATATCTATTATGCTGTATATATGTAAAGATATAGAAATTACAAAGAATAGAAATTTGAGAAAGAAATGCTACTTTTGATTTTTGAGAAGTGATTTAATGTATATTAAGTAGGTGGTAAAAAAAAAGTTTCTTATTTAACAATTTTATATTAATATTATAATCGTTATGCATTTTAGCTATTCGGCATGTATATATTTTTTTATGTGAAACATTTTGTCGAATAATAATAACGTTTGGTCATTTTAACTATTGTGACAATATATATGATGTAACATGTTTTATATACCAAAAATAATTTTTAATCTATTCTTATTTACTATAAAATTTAATGTTTGTGTATAAATTAGGTTTTAGCGTTGCAATATATTTAACTGTTACAAATATTCCAAAATTGTAAATATTAATAGACGGTAGACTAGAGTTGAGTATCTCATAAAATATAAGGCTGTTCTACCTGCCTTATTTAAGTTAGAATGAAAATTTGTAAATATTCAAACAACTCTATAAAATCGTGTATTATTATATACCTCATCAGATGAGGGCATAAGAGAAGTTTAGAAAAAGGAATATCACAAGTGATATTTTAATAAATAGTGGTTTATTATGTAGGCCTAATTTCCATAGACCTATAGAAAGAATTGTCAATTTTTTATCATTACATGGATACATATTATTGTAATATTTATAAGTCTATTAATATTTTCTCTATGTCTATGAAATTTAGGTGAAAAAATTCGATTTGTAAATCACATTTTTATTTATTTTCGGATTTTCTATTTAAAATAATAAGCATATACGTTTAGCCCAGAAAAAAAAAGAAACTTTCAAAATAAAATATATAAGAAGAGTTATTTATACTTAAAAATTTTTATATTTATTTAATTTTATACTTCATTAAAAATATACTATTTATATATGTTGAGATTAAATTTTGTCTATTGTAAAAAAATAAAAATTACGTTAGAACAGTCAAATTTGTCAGTTTCAACAATATTTAAATTGCTTAAAAGATTATTTTTCCTATCAAAGAAAACGTTTTTGCCACTTTGATTCTGAAAGTGGGCACGAAATATAATTGATCTTCTAATACATCAATTTTTATATTATATAAATATATTATTATACTTTGAAAACTTATGCTATTAAAATGTATTAGTTTTGTAAAAGAAAAGTCTTAATATTGAAATATTGCAATATATTGGTTTAGATATTATGGATAAGAAACAACTTATCAAAAAGTTTAATCAGAAAGAAACTGTACATTATTTTGTGTATGAACTTTCGAGTTTCTAATACCAATTAATAATAATAATAATTATAAATATTAAAAGTAAAATCATTAATTGTCAGAGCTATTGCAGTTTGTTTTATCAAAAATATTATAGAAAAAAGTAACACAAAAAAAAATAAAAAAAACTATGTTATAAGACGTTAGAAGTTTTCTAAATAGTTAATAATTTTATTTTCTGAAAATATTTTTTCTATTTGTTTTTATTTTTTTATACCTTTACCTATTTGAAAATGTATAATTATTTATGCTATTGAAATGTATATGTTGTTGAATTAAAAGTGTTACATATTGTATATATATATATATACATATATATATATATTTGAAATTTTTTTTATTATTATTTTTTAAAAAGTTTCTCAGAAAAGCTTGCTATCACAATTATTAATCAGTGCCGTAATTGTCTGATATTATTTATGATAAATAGAATAGTTTTTTAGGTTATAATTATTTTTCTATTGTGAATAACTGATGGCAGGTACTGATTTAAATATTTCATGTTGTCATTTATATTTATATAATTTTGAAGTAAATACCTACGGTAAAAATATTAATATCTACCTGTCGACATCCAAATGTGTTTCTTTATAAATATTTTTAAACAAAAGACTAAATTAATGATGAACTTAAAAGTACTGATTGTTTGTTTTATTAAATAAACTCTATTATTATCATATAATCTTGATATTAAATAAGAATTTTTGTGACTATATATAGTGACCAATTAGTTATTGTTTATGAAAATACAAATATAGGTATATGGACTGCATTAATAATGTACTATAAATAATATTTTATTTTTATATAACACATTTAATCATTATTATATTGATAGATAATTTATTCTTTAATAAATATTAGAGTAGATATATTAGTAGTAAATAGTAACTATGATAAATGTGGTTAGGAAAAAAGTGGAATAGTTAGCTTCTATTTACTTTTGTATTCTTTGATTCGACTTTAGGGATCCTGTAGGAGGGATGCGCCATTCATATTCAGCTCATGTGCCATTGGCTGAAAATTTTGGGGGACTGCTTGAATTTATAATAATTTTTTCGTGTAACCTATTCTATTTTAATATAAATTTTTAATTATCATTAAATATAGTTCATTTTGTTTCTGTATTTGATGCAATTCATTATTTCATAATTATTTCAATGTTTGAATCATTCGCGCGCAAAATCGAGTTCCGGTCCCCCAGCAATGTACATAGCGCATCCCTCCAATAGGATCCCTATTCGACTTGTATCACGCACGTCCTCACGCGATCATCCGCCTCTTGATACGATATCCAGTTTTGGGGATATTCCCTATACTTTCCTAGGGAGTCCGTCACAGATGTGTATTTTTCCTTTCTAGGTATTATATCTTTCAGTTTCGTTTTATACAGTTTTCCGGAGAGGAGGAACGTTCTTCCGCTGTTACGACGAGTTGTTGAAGTTTGGTATGTTAATCTAATGTGCTAAAATCTAATAAAATCACGTTAAAATAAGTGTAGAGATATTAATTATTCATAAGAATAAGAATCAATAATATTTAAACTAGTTAAAAATATTATTATTTATTTCATTACGTGAATACATCATTTTGTATCAATCTAACATATAATGTTTATGTGTTATTTATAAATTTTTGTAATTAACCTTAAATTTGCTCTTCAAAAAACATATGTACAATTATATTTTTATTTAACAGGAGAAAAAACATAATGAAGTTCAACAAGTTAATATCTTCCTCACGAAGGAAAAATCGTAAGCGTCATTTTACCGCTCCTTCTCATATACGTAGAAGGTTAATGTCTGCTCCTCTCTCAAAAGAACTCAGACAAAAGTACAACGTGCGATCAATGCCTATACGTAAAGATGATGAAGTACAGGTTAGTTAATTTAAGATAATATATTTTTAATTAATACAATCACTAATATATTAAATTCCTTGTCATTATATTAATATCTCTCTCTCTCTCTCTCTCTCTCTCTCTCTCTCTTTCTCTTTCTCTTTCTCTTTCTCTTTATACTTTATTGTCTATCTCTATAGATGTCTTTAGTATATTTATTAAAAATTATATTTCATATTTTCTTAATATGTACATATGTTGTTTATAAAGTTTTAGAAATAATGATATTATTGTTCATTAGTAAAGTATTTAATTGTTAAGTATGAACACAGGATAAAATTAATAAACTATATTAAACTTTTAGATACTACCAGTGACTATATAATCTAGTATTCAAATTCTATGTACTAATGATGACTATAATCACTCATAGATATTTAGCATATATTTCATCCTTTGTCTTTTTGATAAAATTTATGTTTGTATTGTAACTGACTATTATAGTAGAATCTTATTTGCGATTTAAGTATATGTACAGCGAAATAGTGTATACTTGTAAACGACATAGACATATCAAAAGGATTAACAAAATATAATTATAATATATTTAATTTTTTACGCTCCAATTATATTATTGAAATATTATAGTTGAAAATAATCTAATATTTAGTTTGTTATGTTTTTTTAACAACTTGTTATATAATAACTTATTAAAATGAAAAAGTGAAAAAATTACTTTTGTTATTACATTTGTTTTGCTCAAATAATTTCAACTTTTCGCGATAATTCTATTTTCATTAATATTGTTTCTTATTTGCACAATGTATGATAAAAGCAATTTGTACTTCTTGATCAACTACTGTATGGAATAATTAGAGTAAAAAAGGTTAAATATTACATTAATTAACTTTTTAGGTTGTCCGTGGACACTATAAAGGTCAACAAGTTGGTAAAGTAGTTCAAGTCTACAGAAAAAAATTTATTATATTTATTGAACGGATACAGAGGGAAAAGGCAAATACCGCTAATGTATATGTCGGTATTGATCCTTCAAAGGTAATATATTGTTTTCTTAATATTGTATATATATATAATTATAAAATTATACATTACTACAAATGATGAACCAAACCATTCTCGGAGAATTGGACAAATAGTTAAACTTATACGCATGCGTTCAAAGTTTTTTTGAATGTTTATGCTTATTCGTTTTCTTGGTCTAATTACTGCAGATACATTGGCACTGATTGACATTTATCTGAATAAATTATTTTTCATAGTTTATCTTCATTATTCTAATCTATGTACCACATGGTTTTGCTTTAGACTGTGATTGTCAAATTAAAAATGGATAAGGATAGGAAAAAGATCATAGACAGAAGAGGTAAAGGCAGGCTTGCTGCTTTGGGTAAGGATAAGGGCAAATATACAGAAGATACTACGGCTGCCATGGAAACTTCGTAAATAATGACAGAATATATTGTATTTGATACAATAAAAAAAAGTAAATTTAAAAATCACACTTCTATTTACATTTTTAATTTAACATTTTTACTGTCACGTCGAAAACATTTGTTTCGCTTGGGAATACAAATCCACGGTAAGATTCTTATTTTTCAAAATTTCATAGAAAGTAATCTTTCATTTTAGATGTTCAAATCAAAAATTTGTAATTGTTCAATGGGACATGTTTTATTTCAAAGTGTATACTAATTAATGGTAATAACTAATTAGTGGTGTAATCATTGTACATTTTTATTCAACTTTTACAATTGTAAATAATTCAAATGCTTCAGTCACCAGTGACCACCATGGCTAGTTAAAATATTAAACATAAGATATTTTGTATTTAATTTTCATAGTTAACATTTTTATGGTTGACATCACATGTACATGATTTTGTTTTTATAATTAAATATTTACACAAGTCAAAAAAAAGAGAAATATTTTTAATCAAATTCTTCTTTATCGATTTAAATATTATCGATCGAGTTATATGGAATTAATTAAAATTATATTTTTTTAAATCAAAGTACCTTTTATATCTAATTTGTTATCGTTATTACGTAACAGTATCTCCTTCTTTAAACTAATACATTGAATATAAACAAAATCAATATAAACACTCAAAGTTTCTGATAATGATGTTGATCTTGTGTTTTGTGGTATCACTGTTTACTAATCCACGAGATTAAAGATATACAAAATGGTTAACGTATATAGAAAACTTTATTAATAAAACTGTATCAAATAAGTATAACAAGTAGTTGAAATAAGTTTTAGGAACACGTGGTGAATGCAATACGTTGTGTGTCGTGTAGCGTGTATAATGCCATTTTTGTATTGTTCTCTTTGTTTTATGTGTTGTTGGTCTGTTTTATCACTTGAGGTATAGTTGTATAAGCGGCCTGCAGAGGCGTGACTGTAGATACGCGTCCGCTACAGTTTATTTAACCACAGTGCCATCTAGCGTTTGATAGATTACATTACTTGTCGAAGTATTTATGAACAACTTCGCGTATAAATTGACCACAATTTATTTTAGAAGACCCGACGGTTTGTTACAGTTATGAGTATAATGGTTCAACATTTTAATCATTGTCTACAAAAATCGGTAAGTTATTGATTAAAAATAATTATTTTACATATATTGATTACTCCCATTTCAATATTTATTGCTGTGTGTGTAGTTGCTTAGCCAGTGGTATAAAACTTTTGTATCTAAACATCATTATAAAATGGCGCGTTCCATATAATATTGTAACAGATTAATGATATTTTTATACTTATCGAACAATTTGCACTTATTTATATATTTTATGCAAATTCATAATTTGATTTTTTTTATTTAATAAATAGCTAAACTGCTTTACATATTACTTTAATGTCATTGTGTATTACTTTATATATATATATACACACACAATAATAACAACAATAATAAATTTGATTACAAGTTTGTGAGTAAAGTGAAAAACGGGGAGGAACGAGAATTATGACGACAAACACATGTCGTTGATATAACATGTGATTAAATGCTACTACATGGATGTTAATAAATGCATACACCTATCCTCAAACAAAAGATATTAAAGTAATAAAAGGCATACAAATGTATTCTCTTATATTGCAACGTACTTTGTTCGGAGTATTTAAATTTTTAAAAAATTATTTTTTTTTTATTTTTTACATATATATTACCGTTAAAATGTTTCATTTAATTAATTTATGAAAAATCATGACAGTTTAAAGAGAAAGCATATAAAAAGAATTTTGTATTACAAATTTATTGTTAAATTAGTTATTTTGTGAGATAACCAGGTAACACATGAATTTTTTCAGAAGAGACCACAAGTTTTTTTTAAACTTTTTCTTTTAAAGTTTGTTCTTCTTTTTATAGTAATGCTCGTAGTTATTCATTTTTATTTCTTCCTTTACTTTGAAAATAAATATTTTGTTAGGCTTATTGCCTTATCGAATCTAATTTACCGATCATATTTCAATTATATATTTTAACTTACCCTCATCTCTCTGGAGAATTTTTATATTATCTATTTAAAATATGTAATTCTGCTTTCTCAGGTACTTAACACTAGATATACCAGACCAATTATTTTAA